ATACCTAGGGCGTATTAACATACATATTTATATGCACTAAGGTATAAACATAGCAGTTGTTATGTTCGCAAAAATGTGCAAATTAAAGCTTGTCACACGCATAACTTTAGAGCAAATTTCATTTCGGAAGTTTATGAAGTTGACCACCCACCCACCCACACATACATATATATATTCTCTCTAGTTGTTATCACAGCCGCGTTGAGCGTTTTAGGTAGTATATTAGAATTTCCAACTCACAAGTATTGTTGTTGCACCTTGTAACGTGTGAACATTGCAAACACCGCAGACTCTTATGGAGAGCTGTCATCAACAAGAATTCCAAGCAAATGCATATATGCACTCAACTAAATTTTACCACTCAGCAAATTGCATGCAGTGTTGCATTTGACACTTCAGTGCGCACACGCACACACGACTTACTGTGTTTACTTATGAATAATTTAAGAGATTATTTGTGCGCATTAGAGTATTCATAGTTCAGTCCAATGGATCTATGTAAACATAATAGATATAGCGCCGACGAGTGACCAACATAGGACTCTGCATATTACACTGTAATCAGTCCTTACAGTTCCTATTAAAAGTTAGCAAATATTAGTTATGCAATTAATCGTGTTCACACAACAATAATTTCAATAATGAATTGCCTTTAGTTGTGTGATTTTGATAATTTATTATTAACTCGAAAATGTGTTGATTGTTATGATGTTATCGCCTCTTCATTAACTAACCAAAATTATGGCAAATTTCATTTCAGAATTGTGTATGCTTACGCTTTTACTAGGAAACTTGATTAAAGGTTCGAGTTGGCCTTGATAGATAATACTCTTCGTAAGCTGCAATTCCTTCTTAGAAAGTTCCTAGATGGTACCTAAGTACTTAGATGATACTTAAAGTGCAATAAAACATCAAGAGCACTAGCAAACTGTTAATTTATATTTAAATTAAAAGGTATGGAAAATACACCAAAGTACTTAAGTGCTCAAGCGGTAATTTAGCACTTAGCGCAACTAAAAAGCCCTAATTTTACACACAGATATATTATAATCTGAAATCGAATATATCCTCCTTATTATGCTCGAAAAATAGGAACAGTTAAAAGCATATTAAGGGGTGTGGCAGCACTTGTATGGGGAAAAATTCATAAACAGCTAAATATTACCTAGGAATCATATAATTCAGATAACATTGAAATGTATTATGGATACATTCACAGTGAGAAAATGTAATAAATAGTAATCGAAAAAATAATCAGTAAAACAACCATTTTCACATTCGAAAATGCACTTTTTTTCCCAGGGCGATGTCCTAAGAAAAGTGGGGCATTCAATTTTGCATTACCTAGTATAGAGAAATGAATGGTTTTTTGTATGAAATTTTTGGAACTTTTTGAAGTAATATTATCGAGAACGAATAAGAAATACATTATTTTATTTATCACGCATGTAATGCATTACCACTTTTCCGACTGGGTTACTATCATATTAAGTGAACTGAAAGATAAATATGAATGAACTTTTTAAATACAGTGAACAACTGTTCAAAAGTTGGAAGGGAGTCAATATGTTTCATTGTTCAATTTTAGCGAATACTTTGGAGGAAATGAATTATTCAATTATTCACTTTTGATGAGTCCTCCAAAATGAACACCCAAAGTGATAAGTGTATATTAGCCTTCAATTACCAAAATCATCAGTTATCAAAATGTATTTAATAAGTAATCGCAACCTCTTGGAATTTTCGCTGATGCCGTTTCTATTAAACACTAGTTATTTATTTAATCAATAGTTCGAGCAAAAAATAAGAAAAATTCAAAGCAAATTAAATTCCAAACGAAGATTTAACGAACTTTCGTGCAAAACTAAAACAAACTGGCATGCAATGCAATTAGTTTTCCGCTTCTATTTTTGCCCAAAATGCAGCAGCTTTGTTGTGCTCGTTGGTTGTGGATTGTGCGGAAATATAGAGTCTGAGAAAAATGCAATTGGCTGTGACGTGACGGTGCTTATGACAATGGAGGCAAGAAGGTAGCTTTCTTGAAAGACAAAATAATTAAAAACCAAAAAAAAAACAGAAAAAAATACAAGAACCAAACAAACGTACAGTAAGTTGAAAGCAGAATTAAGTGAAAATCGAATATAAAATAATTGCTGTTTGTTAAAGAAATCAACACGGAAGCCACAAATTCACAAACAGAAAACCTCTTAATTGATAAATTCGCAATGGCAAACAATAGACTCGAATGAAAAACGTCAAGTACAAAAAGAAATCAATTTCAAGACTTCGGTTATTTTAAGCTGACATCATGGTTGATTAAAACGCCAGCACACACACGCCACAATCGACAACACGAAACAACACTTGGCTGTGGTGTCGCAAAAGTAAATTCCAAAGAACAATAGATACAGCATAAACGAAGAAATAGCAAAATAAAATGGACAATACTAACAAACTACATTCGTTACATATGTAAATTTTCAGTTGTGTACCAAGAATAGAAACATACAAACATACATTGTTACGTATATATATAAAAAAAAAGTTTAGAAAAGTAGCGACGTAAAATTAAACGATTAGAGGAGATAAACTATTCATGAAGATATGAAAGTCTCTATATGTATCTATGCTAGTACATCAAATATGTATTGATATATATTGATAGATAGATTTTTTATGTAAGTAACATATGTACATATGCAGATACATGTATGTATATGTGCGCACATAGAATGTCGGTAACGGTTTTACATTAAGCATTGCATTTTATATTTCTTCTTCTGTTCAAGCATATCGAGAGCTTATATTCAAAGGCGTCCAATTATTATTTTTTTACTTGGGATAATGTCACCTCTTATAAGGTGTCACATTTGAGGCTAAAGCATATTTCGCAACTCTCAAGAAAAACAAAAAAGACATATAAAAACTCAAACGCTCAAGAAATGAAAAAATAAATTTTCTATTCAAAATTTTTTTTGCGGAAAAATACTTCCGCCGCTCTTTTCTGGCAACACAGAAAGGAGAATTCTCCTAGTAAGGGTAAATTATAAAAAATTGCTTGTATCCAAATCGTGAAACCTCAGCAAACATGGCGTCTAGTAAGTAATGATTTTCAGTTATACATATGTTGCAATATTAGATCACCTATAGGCGTTGGCAAGAAAATAATGTAGGCAAAGCCAGCTTCTATGACAGCGTTTTGATAAAAATGCTTTGGACATTCCAAATTCTTTTGGTTTGCAAACTTACATGAGGGATTTGGAATATTGTTGCCACTTGGGGTTGATCTAGTGGTATACATGTATCGGCGTTTTCAAAGTTCACGTCTGCGCTTTATTTAAGAGATGGTCAAAGCTCTCGCCTTTTGCACATTCTTATGGGAAATCAGCGAATGAAACCTCTAACTCCTCAAAAGTTGGACGAGGGCAAAAAATACACACGAAACAGGGATATAGCGGGTTAAAATGTTTTACAAACATTTTTGCCGTTAAATTCTACTATAAGTCACTGAACACACCAAAGCACAAAATTGTTCATAAATGCCCGTAACAAGCGTGAATTGAAAATTTAAGTGCTAATTTTGTGCTTATTACGAATTGGTAATAAAGTCTATTTCTACATCGGGGGATTAGGTAATCTGTGTGGAAATTTTTTTCGATACACCGTACAACACCGTACAAAAAAACTCGTACTGGGAGCCATGTCAAAATTTAGAATCTCCGAAAAACTAATACGTCTATTAGGAGTAAAGTTGAGTATAACATTCAGCTTCGTCGAAATTCGCACGCAATCTGAGCCCCAACTAGGTTTTATAAGAGCGATTCACTCCCTTAAGTAGTGCAGGAACGTCAGTACAGCACCGACAAGATAAACTACGTCTTAGCGACATACACAAAGTCCGCTAAGGGTATCTAAGAAGATGGAATGACAAACTGTACGAGATGTACAATGGCATGGATATAATTAGCCGCACCAAACTTCAATGATTCCGCTGGCTTTCACATGTTTCACGCATGGGTGAGTGGGCTTCAGAGAAAAGATCCTTGAATTCGGCACCCATGGGTGGACAATGAAAGTAAGGGCGCTCAGCAACACAATTCAAGGACCCAATGAAGAAGTACTTGTCTGCATTCGGGATGCGAAATCTGCCCAACTTCGCATTTTAGAGAGGCAATTGGTGACGTTTTTTTAACCTGCTCAAACCGCTTTACGGTAGTATAGGCAAATAGAAAGGAGATGAGCTTCGGATGATAGAAATAGAACATGTGATATCGTTTCGAATATGCTTAAAGACACTGAGAGAGAGAATTTCAGAGAAAGAATATAATTCTTACGAGGAAAGGCGCACTGCCTGATCACGATTAGAGATATAATTATTACAGGCGCCGGTAACTTGATTTCAGAGTAATTAGCTGATGAATTCAGTTCTGCAGCTAAAGAGTTTTAGATCTCAGCACTTAACCAACTCATGCCTTTCATGACTCAACATAAAAAAAAATACGTACGCCCTGCGGACAACGCTCCTTTTGCCGTTTGGGGGGTAGGCTAAAATCTTTGAGATTAGTTATTTAAAAAAGGAAAGAGATAAATAGAGAGCCATTTTCTTGCTAAAACTCCTCAAAAGGTACTTATAAAGAAAAATAATTATGTATTTAGAGCTGAAGAAAATATTGCATTGTTTTGACAAAATTAATTTTAATTTCTAATTTCTTGTTGTTCTAAATACTAATGGCCTTATTCATAAAAACAAAAGTAGGTTTAAAGAGCTTTATAAATTGACGTTCTCATACATTTGTCAATCTATAAACCTTTTATAAAGTTCCTTTTTATGAATAATGCCATAATTGTACAGTAATTTTTCCTCTGTACATTCGATTACTTAATTTTGAAAACCGATACCGAGTCTTTCGCACATAACATTTCAAAATGAGATATACATTACGTACATATACATGTACATATGTGTATACATAGTGGAAAACTACACAATGCTTCAGAGTCTATGTAAAAAGGGTTTTGTTAATCATGTCCAAAGCTTCTTGCACTTGTCTATTCAACTGTTTAGCTGTGAGGTAGTATGTACCTGTTCCGATATTGTTGCGTCCATTATAACGGTAATTGTTATTTAAGACATTATTCTTGTATGGCATTTGCGCAGTTCCACTGGCGACACCACTGCCACCGGCAGTTGTAACACCCACACTGCCAACGCCAACGCCAACACTAACACCAATACCAACGCCAACACCAACGCCACCCAGCATATGACCGCCACTACCTACGCTGGCATCACGCAAGGCATTACCACGCATGCCATTACTGTTGCAATTGTTGTTGTTGTGGTTGTTATTAAGAACAAGGCTATTATTGTTGCCAGCACCATTGACTGCCCCACCAACACCAACACCAACACCGGTGGCATGTGCATGTGTGTGATATTCGACGGCGATACCGTTCTGATGTGCAACGCCACTGCCGCCACCACCGCCGCCACTACCACCGATACTGCCACCATTCATCAACGTGCCGCTTGGCCGCATGTATTGGTGGTATACGCTGCCGTTCATATCGCCAGCATTACCAACATAATGTTGCTGATGGCTATTGCCGGACATTGTTGCATTTTGTGGCGCGCTCTTGGCGCTACCAACCATTCCTGTACCCCCATTAACCATTTGATTGGCGATGCCATTCATCATGCCACCATAGTGCTGTTGAAATTGTTGTGGCGGCGGCTGTTGTTGTTGCTGCTGCTGCTGCTGCTGTTGCTGCTGGTGGTGGTAGTGATGTTTCTGTGCATGCCGCTGGTGCTGGTGTGAGGCAGCGTGTTGATGTGCGTGCTGATGTTGTTGCTGGTGATGACGTGCGCCTGGCTGGGAGGCCAAACTCGACAGCGACGACGAGGATGCCGGCTGTGAGGTGGCCGATGACGAGGCCGAGGAACTTGTTGACTGTGTGGCCAGTGGCGGTGATATATTGCCAGCGTAATTACTGCTGCTGTTGCTGCTGCCGCCGCTCATTGTATGATTGAGTAGATGTTGCTGTTCGCTGTAGTATGTTGGGTGTTGGTGTTGCTGCTGTTGTTGTTGCTGCTGTTGCTGTTGCATAGAGGCATAGTGATGGCTGTAACTGTGCTGCTGTGACAGCTGTTGTTGATGTGGCGGTGAAGCCATTTGTTGTTGCTGGTAGTAATGCTGATGCGATGTTTGCGATTGTTGCTGCTGCATATTCGATGTTGTCGCCGATGACGCCGAAGGCATGTGATTTTGATGAGAATTGTTGGGCAAGAATTGTGGGTACACATGATGTGACCACTGAGGGAAAAGCGGGCGACCTGAGGGTTCTAATTGCCATGTCGCAAGGGGGGTTAGGAGGGGACGAGAATTCAAAGAAATGGAATACG